GTGACTGCTATGAAAAAACAGCTTGTATTTTGTTAGGTTACTTATGGTTATGGTTAGGGCAGGGTGGGGGTTAAGGCTGTCATAGTTAGCGTTAGCATTTTTCCCATTGAAATGAATGAGCGGTCCCCATAAGGATATGTTTACCCTACGTGTGTGTATGTGTGTGTGTGTGTGTGTGTGTGTGTCATACTTTCATCCATCTCTAAATATCCCCAGAGAACAGGATGTCTTGGGCTGTTGGTCTTAACCGGTCGACATGATCAGGTTTGACCATGTGCAGACCAGTGCTGTCTCCCGGGGAGGGGGGGGGGGCCTGGTGGCTGAGCTCTGCAGCTCTGGGGGACGCACCCCTATTCACACCTGACCTTGTCTCACCGCTGACCCTGAATGGGAAAGGGACACTGGTCAGACGGGGCCCCCATGGGGGCAGTGGAGAATGCAGGCAGATTGGGGGGGGGGGGGGTAGTTCTCATCTTCCTCAGCTCTGTGCCACTCCGGAGTAGCAGCTGTGAGTATTAATAGCCAAGCTAACCGTCCAAGTCATCCTGCGAATGCTGCACGTGAAATGGTATAGCCCCTACACCTGGGGGGGCGGGGGAGGTTAGGTGGGGTGAGGGTGCTTTCTAGGAAAGAACACTGGCCTCTCTTTCATACAGATACCATGCCCTCCCCCATCGGCCATAGTATCACCATCCTTCTGTGTCAAGGACATCTGGGGGGGGCCCATTTGAGGCTCCAAGTGTTTCCTGGGTCTCTGGCCTGGGTGAGGCTTGTGCTGTCATGGTAATGTAAGTCTAGGAGGAGGCTGATTGGTGGAGCAGTAACCTGGGGGTGGGGCTTTTCTCACTCCGGCCCCACCCCATCCTGGTCCCTCTCATTTCCACTGCCAGTTATCTTACGCCGAGTGAGACTGAGGTGCAGTGCACCCCTGATACCAGTTATTCTCTCTTTCTCTTCCATCGGGATGCGTTGTGTCAGCCCTCTTTCACTTCCTTTTATGTTTTGTTCACTTCTTTCCATTTCCTGTTGTGTAAGATCATCCCAGCTGTGTGTTGAGTGAAGAGTTGAGTTGAAGTTCATGCGTTTATATTGGTGCATTTAGGACTTCAATTAAAGAATGTTGTGCCGATACAAGAAAACAGTCATTGCCGACATCAGTATGTCGATGAATGTATGTACACATGTACAAATATTATTAGATCAAGGACGGTGTCCTTGTAGGAGACCCCACTTCTTTCCCCTCACTCATCTCTTTCTAGCCATCTCCCCTTCTCCCCTCCCTCACAGTCCTCGGCCGTCCCCAGGCTCTGCCATTTGAGCGCACTGCCACTGACCTCCAGTAGGAGGAGCTGTGACTGTTTGTGTGAGGCTGCGAATCCACCGTCCCAGTTTCCCAGCCTGCACGCTGGGCCGCTTCCTGAGCCGCTGCCAGCTCTCGGGCAGCAGTTGCATAAGATCTGTCGTTTTTTTTTTTTTTTTTTTTTTTTTTCCTGGAATTCAGACTCACCACTGGTGTGTGACCTTCAGCGGTAATTGCCAATAAAAGTGCGGTGAGCTGTTTACTGAGAGATACTGGCAGCGTCTCGTAGGGTTGGGGGGTAGGGGGAGGGTACTGGCACATTTTGCAGCCCTCAGAGGTTGGCTGATGCAGGACCTCTTCAACTGCCTGATCTCCTGGTGGCGGCCGGGGTGGTGGTGGTGTGTGGGGCGTCTGGGTACCAGATCTATATCAGTGTGCGATAACTGATGGGCTCTGGGTGACGCATGTGCTGTGTGGTGAGTGCCCCCGTTAGCTTCACTGAGCTCATGCTCTGCCCCCGGGACACTTCAGCAGCGATGCCCCCAGGACATTCAGTCACATCCTGCTATTAAAAAAATAAAATAAAAATAATAATAATAATAATAATAATAATAATAATAATAAAGGATCGGAGCAGCTTTGCAGGCCGGTCACTATTCCTACCAGAGAGTGCAGTGGGTCCCATCCCTGGCCTGTCTGTGTTGCGCGTTTTGACTCCTGCATCTGTCGGATGTGGCGGGGGCTGTCATCTCTACAGGCCAGGCCGTGTCTTTATTTCAGTATCATGCTCGCTAGATACGCATCGCCTCGTGACTGAAGGACACGGCCGCAGCCTGCAGGTTCTCACGCTTCGGCGGGGCTTCTGGACGCTCTCCAGCCGCTTCCCCCACGCCTTGGGCGGGGCCGCGTGGAAGGCAGGTCTGCCCCAGAAATCGGGTACTGCCTCCTGAAGCTGAAGGGTTAGGCCTCCAGGGACGCTTTTGCATGTACGGGAGCCAAAGCTGTTCCTTCTTTGGTCAATGGTGAACATGTGACTTTTCCCACTTTCGCAGCTGCCAAACGTCCGGCGGTGATGGACCGACACGTCTCTCTGCCTTAAGCAGCATGAAACATCGACTCTGGTTAATGGCTCTCTAACCACACCAGTGACGATCAGAGTCAGGCTTCCTGTTGCCTGCAGCCCAGTAAAGAATTACTGGTGTATCACGAGCAGTTGGTGTCTGAACTGTTATAGACCTGCTGCTGCATTAATGCTTTCCCTGCTTGGTTTGACCTTTAAGGGTTACCCCTGAGGAACAAGCGTGTCGCTGGCCGGTGTTCATTTATTATTTAGTGTCATCGGGTTCATGCATTTTCGCTTTCAGTGACGACAAATTAAGTAATCCAGCAAAAAACAAAAAAAAAAAAAACAATTAAGCAGGTAGTCATAATTTATTCTGAATCATTTTGGAAAAATGTGTCCCTTATATATTTAGTTTCTCAAGACATTTTTAATAAACACATTATAAGTAATAATAATAATGACGATAATGATTATAATTATGATATACTTCATTTTAGATTTCAGCACTTTCCATCACATACAAGCAATAGAACTGATCTAAACTAGTAATAGTCGCTAGTGCTGTCCTAAAACTAAACTAATTAAAATACAATAAATTAAAAGATGAATCATAAAAATGGAATTCTGCATGGAAAGAAAAAGGACAAACTGCTAAAAGTGCTGCCACTATACATGGGACTGAAACAAAAAGAAAAAACTACAGAAAAGAAAATGAGTGTTTTAAGTGTGATTGGGTTGGAGGAATTGCATGCACTCCTTACAAAGGCACTTCGAGTCCATCTGCCGTGACCTTTCCATGTCTTTCGACATAACCTGCATGTGTGGAAGCTCTGAAGAGTCTCCCTCACAGGCCTCATGGCAGTGAAGTATTAAACAACACCTATCACTCCTGTCATCAGCCCCTACGGCCAGCAGACTCGGCAAGGCAGAAAGGGGGATGTTTCGAACTGCCGCTTCTGTGCGTGCACGTTCCTATTGCGTGAAAATTGATCTTTTGAATAAACAGAAGTCAGATTGAGGGAGATTCCAGGCTGGTCTCGCAATTACTCAGGCACCCGTGTGTGTGTGTGTGTGTGTCTCTCTGTCTGTCTGTCTGTCTGTCAAGGTGAGTGTGACCAGATCCACCCCCACACATACACACACACACAAACACATTTGAGCAGGTCTGATGCGATATACCCAATATCACCTGTACCTGAACATTCCATACACCAAATAAGTTAACACTCGTTTTTATTTCTTTGCTTTTGTGTGTCTGTGATCCAGACTAAGAGTTAGGATGGGAAGGAGCCCTTTTTGTCCTCAGCTGTAAGAATAACTGGTCAGGCTTATGAATTATTACTGTAATTTTGGATTTACTCATAATAAAGCTTTCGAGGTGGGGTGGGGTGTGGTGTGGAGTGACTTGTGTCCCTGTTCTGGAGAATGTAAGCATACTTTCTGTGGTGAGGCTTTACACAGCAATAGATAAGAATTTGAGAACAATGACACCATACCTGCGTTGGAGTGCATACCTGTATTTTTTTATTTTTTGTCTACCTGAATACTCCAATCACACGACACGTAACCAAATGATGGACAGGTAGATGAACCAATACCAGTCAGTGTAAATGGTGACCTCATGAATGGGCGTGATGTCATAGTGCTGAACGCGGGGAATACTTTGGTACAGCACAGGCTATTGAGGCAAAGCTTTTTGCTCCTGGTTTTTCTATCAGTGATTTGTGTGATGGTGACCTTGTTGCTACTGTGGTTGTCGCTGGTGCTGATGTTTACGTGATGGTGTCTGTCGTCGTCGCTTTTGGACAGTCATCCGCTGTAACGTGGGTAGTAATCAGACCCGCGCTGTGCCCCCACCCCCAGAATACCATAAGAGCCCTGCTGTCTGCTGCTGACTACGCTATCTTGGGGGGAGAATGTGAAGAGATGAATGCTTTACTAACCCGACACTTTTATTTCCAATCAGCTGGCCCCCCCGCCGGAACCAGAAGCCCCCACTGAGGTGTGTCCAACACCTGTATCTACCCCCAGTGTATGCATACGGGTTGTTGTGTTTCTAGTTGTCTACCCTCACAGACCACCTGTGTGTTGATCATCGTAGCCGTTTTCCCAGAAGACCTGACTGTCCTATTGTTGTTTTTTTCAATTTGTGTGCCACCTCTCCAGCTGTACCCTTGTCGTCGTGTTCTACCCCGCCGTCCTGGCCTGGTCAGGCCTGACCTTTCCCGCCTGTCCCCAATGTCATCTTTGTTGGCTTTCGGAGAGCCCGTCCTGGCCCTCCACATTAGCCTTTCTCTGCTCCATTACGTGGCGCCGTGTCCTTGACTCCTGTCCCCCTTGGGCTCCCGGCTGGTGAGCTGGGGGCTTCTGAGCAGCTGTTAGCTGGGCTCTGGATAAGCAAGGTCCAGTGCCTGGTCCCCATCAGAAGGCCACCCAGGTCGCTGGGTGACATTGAATCCACACCGTTACTTTTTCGTTAGAGGTCCCCAGTATGTTCTGCATGATTAAGTTTGCGAAACCGCTACTTCACTCAACACTCCCTTAACAGCATGAGAAGATCTACCACACCTTCTTGCATGTGAGGAAAGTGACTAATTAGCACGACATTAACGCACTCTTTTGTGTGTGCCCCCCCCCCCCCCCCCCCACGATTCTTCTGGTATCTCTGTTCTCTGCTAACTCCGCCCTCTCAGGATGCTGATCCGAATCAGCCTCAGAAGCAACTGGAGGATCAGAGAAGGGTATGTAACCAAGGTCTCTGAAGGAGCGATCCTGCCAACTGCAGATGACTAACCTTAATCTTAATAACACCTCCCCACAATACCCTCTACAGCACTGTTTCTTAACCCGGTGGTCAGGGAGCCGTGGACAGTCCACATTTTTGCTCTCTCCCAGCTCCCAGTAAGGAGCAAAAACATGGGCTGTCTGGGGGGTCCCTAAGGACCGGGTTGGGAAACACTGCTCTACAGCATGCATCCTTTGTCTGCCACTAACATGAGTATGTCCAGAGATGAACTGGGTCTTTACTTTCCATTATATGATTGAAACAGCACTGCCTTACTGTGTGTGTGAGTCAATGCATTTTGCTCCTTCAGCCCTTTAGCTTCGTGTACCATCTGCAGGGGTTTCAGTTGCGTTGTCTTACTGTAAATGGGTCCTGACAGCCCCTGCACTCTGCACGAGGCATCCAATCCATGCTGGTGTTAATGGGACGGTTTGTTTTCCTCCTCTCTGGGTATGTGGGTCCAGCCCCTGGTCCAATTAGTGGGCATTGCTTTCGAGCCCCGCAATGGTGTCTTATAATTTCCTGTTATGCTCTCATTGGCCGGCAGCTTACTCACCTGCTGCTCTTCCTTGCTGTGACGGTATCGTACCTGGTGGCACTACGGTCCTGAGATACTGCTTTCAGTGAAAGGGGAGGTTTCTCACTGAGTTTCTTAACAGCTAACTCTGGCTAAATCTACACTTATAGCACTTACCACCTAAATATATTTAGCAAAAATAGTATGCCCATGAGAAGCTGATTCTTATTTTGTTGTTGTAAAACATTGTAATTTTTATTTTATCTATGGAGAGACACCGTTTATGTGTGTTATGTCTCTGAGGTATATAGAAATGACCGACAGAGATACCCTGGCTGATTTGGCCCCTCCCCATTTTTGACAGAATTACATCAGCAGGCTTTTCCCCAACTGATCCCTTAGTTCAGATTTCGAAGACTAGATCATTCAGATGAAGCTCCCCCATCCCACACACACAAATATGTCCATCTCTCAGTGTTGTACTTCTGTTGAGTTCTGTTTCACCGTGTTTACGTTCCTGCTGTCTCCAAGAGTAGCTTGTCTAGGTGTTACATCGTCCGCATTATGGTGCGAGATGGAACCTCACAAAAATACATGGTAATTTATGCAGTGACAAATCTCGAAGGGGCTTTGGCAGCCCCCTCGGCTGGCATCCATCAAGCCTTATGAAATGGTTTTGAGTAGGCCTAGCGACCGCTCAACCCCCCCCCCGGAAGTCAGCCAATTCTTGACGTCTCTCTTCCCGGCTGCTCTCTCCATCTGAAGGGTGAAGCACTGAGACAGATTTTGGTGAATCGTTACTATGGAAACTTCAGGCCCAGTGGGAGGAGGGACAGCCTGACCAGTGTGAGCAATGGTCCCCTCACCCCCGGTGGCCAGGGGAAGACCCAATCAGGTGAGCCGCAGAGAGCTTGTGTGGGTCCGTGTCTGTCTGGATGCATGGATCCTTCTACCTGTGTGTGGTGGGGAGACGAGACAGTTTCCCATACTGTCCCATAACAATGTCGAATAGGAAATAGCCTCTTCATGTTCTGTTGTATTTCCCCAATCTGCATTTTACAGATAAGCAGAAGTTAATGCGAAAATCCCACGTGTCTGATGGCTGATACCAAACATTTAAAATGTCTTTCCTATTTTACCCCAAACAGGAACAATAGAAGCTATGTCGAGTAACCCTAGAATGACCCTCTAAGCTCACAGTAAACAGTCCCATCTCTGATCTTCTGCTTACTGCTTGCCATTAGACATCGCTTTCCCCACCCCCTGATTCTTAGGAACAGTGAAAATACTTGGTTCGTGTTCGGTTATGTTACTTTGAGATTGTTGGCATGCATCGGTGTTTGATATGTCCTCTTCAGGCAGTTAACTCGATTGTGGCAAATTGCTGTTCATAAACCCCCTCTTTTAAAGCCACTCTCTCTTCCCCCATTGACGTTTCACGTCAAGAAGCCTCTCCGCACGTTCGATTCAGCCATTACTGTTGCTACGCAACGGGGCCGGAGCTCACGTCCTCTGAGTTTCCTGCCCCACCTGGTCGCAAAGCTTATGTGAGTGGTTACTTATATGGGGATGCAGTCATGGGAGTTAATCAGCTTACTTCCCAGCGAAGTCACACACCCCTGCCAACTCTTATGTGTTTAAACGTCACATCGATGGTCTGTCTGGATTCATTTACGGAACGGCTGGGAAATCAGCTAGTCGGAAAAACCGGGAGAACCCTTCGTGTATCTAACTATTAATCAGGAGCCTAAACCACATAGCAACAAATTGAACATAAACAAATGGTTTGGCCACAGGATGTTGTAAATGGCAGCTGAACACAATCAAGGTCTGCACTGATGAAACTGGCTGGTGTGAGCCATGATTTCATCTTGGGTACGACCCAGAGAGAGGCATGATTTAATTCAGTGTGTTCTTCAGTTTTTCGGAGTTTGTGTGACTGGCAAGCCGAGAGTTCTCCATGTTTGGTGTTATTGCGTTTAGTGTTTCTCTCCATAACACTGTGCCCTGCTGTCTGTGGGCTCAAACATAGACTGCCTACAGGGACACGGGTAACGGTTAATGGAGGCCAAACTGTGGAAGGTCAGATTTCAGGGAGGACTTTGCCACTGTACCTAAAGATCTGAAAAACCCCCAGTTCGCCTGAATTGCTTTGCTTAATTTCAGGGAGTGTAAACGGCTGAATTGCTAAGCCATTGTCCATGACCCTCCCCCCCCCCCCCCCCCCCCTGTCCCGGCACTTTGGCATCAACAAAGGGATGTTATATAACATCTATTTATAATCAGGCTGTTTGCTCAGTGGCAGCAGCGGAAGGGGAGCTGTTAGCAGAGGGGCAGCTCAGCGATGCCTCGTCTCGGCTCGCCTCCCGCTTCGCCAACCGCGTGGGAGGACTCCGGCGAATGTCACTCAAAGTCACAGCTTCCAAGTTCGCCGCATCGCACTCCCGCTAAGGCCCGCTTCCGGCCGCCCTCCCCTCACGCTTGCGGGGGCGTGTGGAAGCCGCCTGACCAAGCGTGCCTCCCCGCCCCCCCTTCCCGGTTCTGCTACAGACGAGCCCATCTGGCACTCGCTCCGAGGACGCCCCCGGCAGCAGCTCAGCGAGCGTAACCGCTCCCGGACGGGGAAAGGCGGAGCAGCGGGGGCCGAGGTATCCCGGCGGCACCGTGACATTTCCGCCCACGCGTCAGCCAGCACCGGGGGCTGCGGAGGGCAGGCTGAGAGCCGCCCCGCGCACAACTGGCAGGTTTCGCACCTACAAATGGGACCGGCGCCGGGCAGGACGGACCACCTTCATGCTGAAATGGTCCATGCCGGCTGCGGCAATTTCAACACAGGCTGATGCACCTGTAACGACTTACTGTAAGCTGACGGGCATGAGTGTGGGCAGTAAGCAGACTAGGGATTACGGGGGGGGGAGATACAGAGGATTTCGGACAGGCTGGCGCTAAGGACACCTCCACAGAAACACAAGAAAGGAATGGAGAGGAATTATGCTCCCCTCCCCCCCCCCACCCCCACCATGTTAGGTAACCTCATTAGGTGAGATGCCTTTGAGGGTCAATAGCCTCTTGAGGTTGGTTCACTTCCACGTACACGCAAAAACATGTGAGCACAAGGAACACCTGCAGTGTTAATTATCTGGCTGTTTGTCTGCGTACAAAAATCTAATTAATATGCGAACACCAAGAGTACCGGAATTGGGCTTGGCCAAGGCCCAGAGAACTCCTAGCGCAGACACGCAACGCAGCACCAAACAACCATGCATCCCCGACCAATCAGGGCCCAGATGTGGGGCTGTCTGACACAGAGCAGGTCAGCCCACGTTTCCAGGGTGTGTCCCCCCCCCACCACACACCATACTGCAAAGGCATGCATTAGTCAGTGCTACATGAGCTAGACAGCAGTGACGCCTGCTCACTGGGCGCAGTGATCACATGTTCGACCGGATGCACCGAGGTCAGAAATGCGCTGATCAAGATTCACGTGGTCCACACCCAAAAAGAGTGGACGAGTGTGATCAAGATGACCCACTAGTCACCATCGGTCACAGGCAGCCTGCAGTCCTTTCCCAACTGAATAAATAAAAATAAGTTGCATGAGGCTCCTCTGGTTTGCCTTTTCACCATCTGCGTGATGGCATCTGTGACCCTGCTTCCTCCCCCTTCGGTACCAAACACTTCTCACCAAAAAAAAATAATAATAATGAAATAATAATAATAATGGCAGCCTCGGAACAGATAAAATGTCGAGGAAGCAACAGATGGGCATCGCACGTCATTTGGAGAATCTTCCGGAATGTTCCATTATACCTCTCTGCAGGAAAGCCCCTAATTAATGCGGTGAGCAGATGAAAAGCTACCCTGTGAAACACCACCCTGGCAAGGAAACGGCACTGCTCTCCCCAGGCGTGTAGAGAGGAGAGCTCAAAGCACACGTCTGAGCCAAGGATGTGACCTGGCCCGTTCTGCCCCTGCGTGCCGCCCCTCCCAACCATCAAACCATGATTCCAGGCAGCAGTTCTATCGCCACGGAGAGCCGCGGTCCCGACGACCACTCGCACAAAAACAGCCGGGCGACAGACTGGCTGTGTTGAGAATCCTTCCTCGCGTCTCGTCCTGTGTCTCATTAAACGGCAGAGGGTCCTCGCGCCCCTCCTGAGGGCCATCCGCCCACCGTTACGCAAGAGTGGAGCACGGCGCGGGCGTCGATGTCTCAAGCCCGCCGAGCGCCACACGTGACGCAACAAAGATTGCTTGTTCCTGTCAAAAGCTGCCGGGCAAACCGCCCGCTTCATGTGTCGCAGAGGCGCCGGGGAACAGCGAGCTGGGGGGAAAACGACTGATGAGGAGGGTCAGGAGTTCAAATGGAGTCCCCAGAGAGGCGGGTGGGGCTGGGGTATGCCCCCACACGGGGGTCCCCTAGACAAATGTTCACATGCAGTCTCCATGGAAACACTCCTGAGGGTCGGCTCCCCAATAACCTTTCCAGTTTATGCTTTTTATTCCCGAATGCCTCCTATGAGCATAGGAAATTGTGAGGAGTGGTGGGAGGTCTACTGCGGAATGGGGGGGGGGGTCACAGAAGGTTTCTGAGAAAGATGAGTCAAAGTAAGTCAACAGTTCCCATGGTAACCTCCAACCGCACTGATCCACAAAGTCAGGTCCGATGACCATGAGAGTCTCTGGGTGTGTCTTTAGGGAGGGGGTGGTGGGGGGGTGGGGGTCGGTAATAAGTGCCAGGAGTGCCAGAGTCACTCAACATGTTCTGCCCACACAGGCTGTTTACAGTGAAAACAGACAGCACTATATACATTTCAGGTTTTGGTCTGGTTCAGCTGCTCTTATCAGACACCATTCTGTTCGTATGCATGTTGTAGCATGTGAATGATATGAAACCTCCATAGATGTCAGAGGTCATGTAGATCCCATGCTAAGGTGGGAGGAGCAGAAGGGAGGCGGATCTCCAACAGGTGGCAGCAGCGTCGCCACCACACACACACACACACACACACACACACACACACACACACACACACACACACAATCTGAACCTGGATTCCCAGGAACAGGTTGGTCTCAGACCGTGACCCAGAGACCCTAGACCTGTGCGTGCAAAGAATAACACTCTCCAGGATCAGTCATTGTTAAGGAGGAACAGAAGAGCTTAGTGTAAACACACAAATAGCAGCGACAGACACTTACACTCAGAGCTCGAGGTTAAGACCCGAGAGGAACGAGGCGACAGATGGATGGAGAGGGGTGTAAGCGCCCCGTGCTCACATGGTCTGGGTTTACTGGGTCCATCACAGTCCCTGTGGACACGGCTCAGTTTCACTTCCATTCAGTGCCTAAAGGTCTGATTAACATAACGAGGCTCGGTGATACCAGCGATACCCGCTGCCGGTCAAAGCTCGGTCAGTCTGATTCTACTGGACTCTGAGGCTGACTGAAGGTTACCGGCAGATTTGGTCTCAAAACTAGTGCTGCAAGTGGTAGAAGGCATCGCGATCTCACCAGGAGAATGAAAAATCAGGTACCCAAACACTCCTAAGCAGGAAGCAGGTGAGAAACTTTGAGAAAGACACGCCCCCCCCGGCACATGACCGTGTTCGGGGTAAACAGGAATGTTAGGTAGCCCGACTCAGCTCTTATGCAACAGCATCACGTGAGGCTGTAGAGGCGTGGGAAGGCAGGAGACATTAGGTAAGAGGACTATGCAAATGACAAGACCATTATGCAAGAGGCCTGTTTGTGCAAGTGAGCGCGTGCGCGCACACACACACACACACACACACACACACGCACACACACACACAAACTCACAGGCGTCACGCCAGACTGGAGCGATATGCTTGCCCTTGATCCAACACCCCCACATTTCCATTTCCACCCCCCCCCCCAACTGCCTCTCATTTCACCTTGCCAGAGGTTAGCAAGGGGCTCCGTTGCCATGACAACCCCCGGCTGACGCGTCAGTGCGCATGCAGCTTGGCCGTTTCCCAGCAGACGGCCGATTCTCGGGCCGCCCCCACAGCCGCCGCCATAAGCGGCTCGGAACGGGACCCTGAGACCCCACCTAGGATCGCGACGCTGCTGAATCACCCTACCACCCCCACCCCCGCCGAGTCCGTCAGTTCGCAGAAACAGCCAGCCTCATCTTGCCGCAAGTTCAGACTTCTGGGTGTGGACTTCTCCTCCTTCTCCTACGCCTCCCGTTCCTTATAAACAGATACGCTCACCGGGGTTATCGCAGCAGGATGACACTACCATTCTATCCTCGCCCAGGGTGTCAGACACAGGATAATTGCAAACCAACAATTGACAAACTTTTGAATGGTATGAAGCACAAGTTAAATAAGGTAATGGTTTTGAGTGTTTACCATTAGCAGTTGCCGTCAGGATATGCACAGGAAGCCAAACTGATCCGTTACATTCCGCAGCCTCTCAGCGGACCATACGAATGAGAACAATGCACTCACAATGTTTCACCTGAGACTAAAGACAAGGGACCTTAAGAAGGGAAACATCCTCCACGTGCATCTCCCATGACGCAGCCAAACCGTGAAACGTGAAATTCTGCTGGAAGGGAACCAAAAAGCACATTAAACGATCTGGGCTGCTTATGAGAAAGACGTTGCGTGGAGTTTGGTTCAGTTCTGTGGAAAGGCAGATCCGGCCCACCCACACACACATGGGGACGCGCGTATGGTATTTTTGAAAGAATGGCAGTCGGATAACATTATGGCTCACTGTGCAACATTGCCGACCTCACGGCCTGGCCTGTAAACACAGGGCAGCAAGTCATCATTATACATCATGCAGGTCACTATGGAAACGGCTGCAAGGATGAGGAGGAGATGATAAAGCACACGCACGCGCGCACACACACACACACAGACACACACAGACGTTCAAAGGGACTTCCCATTGACTTCCATTTTAAAAGCAATTAATTATACCGCAAAATTTTTTGCACTTTCATATTTTCTGCAGACAGCGAAGCAGGAAAAAAAATGTCCCTGTGGGGACACCCCCCATATATGTTTTCAGGATTTTTCCTTACACCAGCCGGCCTTGTGGGGTCCTGGCAGAGAGAAAGGATTTCCATGCCGAACGCGGCTGAAAGGATGACAGCAGCGACATTAGCATTCAGGATGATGGGGTCCGAGGGCAAAGTGTACCTCCTACACACTGGTTCCCAGGCTGTAGTTTGGGGATTTCTGCTGGCGCTGACGTCGCTCCAGCCAACCTTATAACAGACTAGCGTGTTGCATCTGACCTCGATAAAAGCAGCTACAAGTGGTGTTTCATGACTTACTCTTTTCATGCTTTACCGTCACTTTATTCTAGCAATCGTTCATATGATACAAATCTGTTTTTATCTCGGTCCATTTAGAGATGACAGCGCAGTGAGTCTCACCTGGATGGTGGGGTTCCCACCCTCCAGCAAGGCGATCGCTAGCAGGATGCTCTCTTGAAAGATACGGTCACTGGTGGCGTTCATGATGAGGTCGATGACCAGGTCAGACGCTCCCTCCCTGTCAAGGTGACACTGGACCTCTGCCAGGCTTATCTCCCCCCGACCGAGAGATCCGGGGGCACTTCCTGCAAAAGGTAAGGCGGGGGGGGGGGGAGGGTCATGGACAATGGCTTAGCAATTCAGCCGTTTACACTCCCTGAAATTAAGCAAAGCAATTCAGGCGAACTGGGGGTTTTTCAG